TTTCTTGGCATACTATAGCAAACTTTATCACAAGACTGTCCGCGCAGTGCAATTTGTGAAGCACTATCTCGATTTGGCATTGAAAGAAGGGTAAGGAAGGCCATTAAAGTCCAGCACCAGGCCCTAACCCTCAATCGAGACGGTGTTCTTGTACCAAGATACTTTTTTCACGTGACTTCTGCCATTGCAGACCTCGTGACAAGGAACACTTGATGTTCACTTAAGAAAGGCGCGTGACAGCTCCAAAACCTCGAAGCATTTGAATTATTTTGAAATCTGTCATAACCACGTCAAGTTGACAAATGCGAGACTAATGCATTTCAACGTGCGTTTCGTCCTGAATTCAAGTTCCTACACGATCTGCATTTTGGTTGGGTATGGCGAGACTTCTTAATTGCCTCCTCTGGTCTGTTAACTCTGTGGATCCTCCCTGCAGTTTGAACTTCTGTTAACGCGCTTCTTCTGAGCTGGTATGTTACGATCTGTGTACATTTTGGGTTCCTGCGTGCAATTCCTCAGAGTGTTTTCTGGGTTTTTGTCACATATGCAAGACAAAATTACAAGATTTACTAACAGACGCGCACTCCTGAAAATCATACATTCCTTCCAGGCATGCATTTACTAATCTGCTCTTTGCGTGAGGAGATCATATTAATGATGGAATACTTTAAGATTGAACTTTGGATTCTTCGCCAATGCGAAAAGAGATAGCGACCACGGTGTTTGATAATAAAAGCAATAATAAACTTTATTTACGTTAAGTCTACACATTGCAGTTCCGTTAGAAATCAGTGGCCCTCAAGCAAACAACTTAAGTGAAATATGAAACGGCTTAAGAACATCACAATACTCAACAAAGAAAAGCAAAACTTGATCGAAATTAAATACAAACGTATCATCGTGACTGCATTGCAATCAAAATGACCCCGTCCGCAAACTATTGCTCATTGGAAAACAGTCCTAAGAAAATACACTCGCTGATTGGTTAAAAATCGTGTTTCTATTAAATAATTAGATTATGAGTTCGAGATTTCTATCGCGTGAAAGTAGACGAGGGCGCAGCCCGAGTCAACTATCGCGCGATAGAAAGGGAGAGCGAATAATCTAAATGTTTTAGTGTAAATCTACTAGCCGTTCAAAACTTAATCGAAATTGTCTTCGCAGACATTTCGAAAACGCCAAGAAGCGGCCGTCGTTTTGTTAAAAAGGGAACACTGCTACGCTACTCACTATCTATCACAGAATAGAGTAGTAGTGAGTAGCGTAGCCAATCAGAGAACTGCATTCGTGAATGGCATTCGTGATAGAAAGCTGGTAGATTTATACTAAAAATCGATTGAAACACAGACCTAGCACGAGCTGTTGTCGTAATGAAGGTGCGAGCCAAGAGAATTTATATTTTGAAAATCAACGTTAACAAGTTGTTTTCCTTTTTTTCGTCGCGGCGTTTTCTAAAAGAAATAGAAAACATGTTCTCCGTGTCACTATCGAGTTATAGAAACACTCGTGAAAGTTTGGGAGAACTCGAAAAAAAGCTGTGGAAACGCTCGCCTGTGGCTCATGTTCCCACAGCATTTCTCGTTCTCCCAAACTTCCGCTAGTGTTTCTATAGCTTGATAGAAACACGGCACACGTTTTGTATTTCTTAATTCTTAGTAAAATGGTGGCGAAAAGTGATCTAAAATGTGTGAGTTTTTCCAAGGACGACAGAAACCGAGTGGTTTTTTATTTGTTACTTACTGCAAATGAAAATAAAAAGAAGTATTATTTTTAAAGCCTATAAATTTGGGACTCTCCGTCGTATTATTTTGTGGAGTTTTATTCTTTCTTAGTGCAAATGAAAATGGAGAAAAAAAAACATGAGGCATTTGCTATATTCACGTGGATCACGTCTGGGAAGACAGGGGAGAGATATAGAATGAAGGCACGGAGTGTAGAACGCGTCCTTTTTTTCTATGATCCCCTCGAGTCCTCGAAGAAGGGAACTAGTTATCGAGTCCTACAAGCCCAAGTTGCACACAAATCATGGAGGTTTTAGTTTCGCTTGGGTGGAAGTATTTTTCACTGTCCTGAGCTTCCCTGATTTGACCGTTGGTGAAAGCCAAAATTGAAGAACAAAAATTCAAAAGAGATAATCCGTTGTCCCTTTGTTTCGCGGGAAAAAAATTAAAAACCCAGCGCTCGTCAAAAATTATATTTTTTCACCAGAAAGTTAGCT